CCCCTTGGGGAGGGAGGGGAGAGGCGCGGGCCCGCCCCCCGGTTCGCTCTGGGCTCCGCCCCCAGGAAGAGGGCCGGCCTTGGAGCCCAGGGGCCGCCGGGCATTGTAGTCACGAACTAGAGCAAAGCCTAACCGTGGAAGCCTACAGGTCCCAGAAGACACCGCGCTACCGATTCTGAAAGTTTGGATTGGCTAGGCTTGGTCTGGGCATGGCCTGCCGCCCCAATGAGCACAGTTGGTTAGATACGTTTTGGTATGGTAATCCCCATGGTTAAATGGGTTTTGGTATGGTACTCTGGGGATTGTGGAGGTTTAAGTTCTGTAAGGCGATTAGGCCTGGTGGAGGCTTTATAGAAACCAGGTTCTGGGATCGTTGATGTCCAAAGAAGGTTTCTTTCTATCACCGTCTCTCACTCCTGTTTCACAGAACAGGTTGGGATGGAAACCCAGGATATTGGGTTGAGGAATTTGCTCCTCTGGGGGAGTGATTTCTCTACTTGCGCTTTGGAAAGCAATCCCGAGAGTAGAATGTAGTAAGTGTCTAGTTCCGCTAGGGCAGCGGTTCTCAACCTGGGGGTCGAGCGACCCTTTCACAGGCGTCGCCTAAGAGCATCAGAAAACACATATATAATTACATATTGTTTTTGTGATTAATCACTATGCTTTAATTACATTCAATTTGTAACAATGAAAATACATCCTGCATATCAGATATTTACATTACAATTCATAACAGTAGCAAAATTACAGTTATGAAGTAGCAACGAAAATAATTTTATGGTTGGGGGTCACCACAACATCAGGAACTGTATTAAAGGGTCGCGGCATTAGGAAGGTTGAGAACCACTGCACTAGGGCTACTAGTTGCTTCGCTTCCATTCGAGCCATGTCCTTCTCCCTATGCATTTATTGAGCTCCAGCTGTTTATTAAATACTGCTGGGTGGTGGGGAGTCAAAGTAAAATAGGAAACTGGTCTTCTCAAAGTTTATCCATTGAGAGAGACAAAAACTACTAAATTCAGTAAAAGTGGTAATTGGTATGCACTGGGTATTGTGCTAAGGACAAGGTATCCAACCGTACAAGGTATCCAGATCACAAGGTCCCTGTGTGTTGTGCCTGCCAGAATAATGGCTTTAGTTTTTAATGTTTCTGTGTGTACCCTGTTTCCTTGAAGAAGTTTTCTTCTGTCATGACCAAAGCTGACTCTTCCCTGGGAATTAATTTTGTGTATTCCCAAGCCTTAGTCTTTCTTTGCTGTACTTTAACACAGGAGAAAACAACTACCTATTTCATTCCACTAATCATTAATTTAGTGCACAATTCTGGAAAATCTAGTGTGCCAGCCATTGTATCAAATGTTAGGAATAAAAAGATGAACATGACATGATCCCTGCTTTTAAAGAATTTTCTGTCAAGAGGGAGACATGCAAATAACTGCAATCATGGAACCATTTCCTGATCAATTAGGTGTCAGGTGCTTTAGTTACATGAACTCATTCAACATTTTCAAACAGTTCTCTGAAATAGGTCTTATCATTATATCCATTTTACAGATGAAGAAATTGAATGAAAAAAAGAGACTAATATATTGCTGAAGATCATACAGTAAAAATGACAGTCTCCTCTTGAGCCTAGGTCTATATTCCAAAGACTGTGCTAATATTAGAAGAAATTGGGGAACATTTTCAAAATATGATATTTGAGCTGAGTCTTTAAAGGACAAACAAAAGTTAGCCAAGGAAAGTTTGGGACTTCAAAGGGAACGGTACTAATAACGCCAAGATACAAAGATGTTTAAGGAAGAAAAAGAAGCTTGGTATAGCCGAGGAATAAGTAGGTAAGGTAAATAGGGACTTATTGTGAAGGAGCTAAAGGCATTTTTAAGGGCATAGGACCTTAAAATATAAATATTTGTGAGAGGGTTGACTGATGATAGGATTATTTTAATAACTCTTCTTTGCAGAGACGGACCCGTAAAACAATGCCGTTTAGCAGTTGATATCTAGAAGAGAGAAGGGTAAATGGTTCGGATTTAAAGTTCAGTCAACCAGGAGACGTCTTTTCCCCGAAGTCGGGGCAACCCGGACCTACGATTCCTATGGTTCCAGATCCCGCTGAGTCCTGGCTCCCCGCCCTCTCTACTGCGCAAGCGCACACTGCTGAGTTAGCCAACCGGCGCCTTTGGTTTCGAAGAGAAAGCCCCGCCCCTTTCTTCCCTCCGCTGTCCAATCGCCTCCTTGTTTGGCCTTCTCCACGCGCCGTGGGAGTGTGACGCAGTATTCGAGCGTCCACATCGCGTGGAGCGGCGACGCCGAACATGGCGCGTTCCTAGAAGCGGCTTTCGGCATCAGTAGGCGGCGGCGTGGGGACTGGGAGCGTGGGGTGCCGGACCAACCGACGCCGCTTCGTGCTGGAAGTGAAAGCGGGAGAGCCGGGCTGTTCCGGACCGAACCAACCGGTGAGGCTCCCGCCCGAGGCCCCCAGAACGCTGAGTAGAAGGAAGGAGTGGGCTGGGCAGCGGAGACCCAGGAGGACCGCGGGGCTACCGGGAGAGGAGGGGTAGCCTGGCGCGGCGAGGGCCTGCGGGCTTGGTTCTTTGCGTAACCCTGGGAACCCGTGGGAGCTCGGGGCTGTGCCAGTCGGACCGGAGCAGGAAGCATGGTCACGGAGGAATCGGGGTGCAGGAAGGCAGGCACTGGGTGCCCAGAAAGGAGAGCGTGGGGTGCCCATTGTGGCTGCGGTTGCGGGCCAGGGTGGTGCATTTGCCCTTGAGGGATAGAGACCCTGGTCGTCTTTAGTATAAAACCACTACTGCTAATAGCAATGCTGGGAAAGCTTTAATTAAACATTAGACCCTTGCTACCCTTTAATGAACAAGTGAAGGAAGTTTGCACATTTTCGGAGAGGACCTGCTTGCTGAGGTATGGCCGCCAGTGCTCAAGCCCAGCGATTTCGGCAGCTTTATATTTGGGGGTCTTGGTGATTCAGCAAATCTATTTGAGGCCCATTGCATTTATTTTTTTTTTTTTTTATGACATGGTGATGGAGGGAAGTAGTATTTCAGAATGACTTGACCAAATAGCAAGGACTGGTGAGTTGTTTGCTAGTGCCAAGATTGCCGTTTGACATATTCTCTCCCCACCCCAGTTTAAAGGAGCTCAGTTGTAGTGCGCTAGAGTCCTTGAAATTTGGTTATTCTTCAGAAGGGAGTAAGGAAGAGCGTTTTACAGCCATACTTTTTTTTTTCTTGGATAAGGGAGGTCACTCCTCCATTTTCACATTATTTCAAACCTCTGTTCAGTACAGAGGTTTCAAGTTAAGGACAGAGTGACTACAATGGAAGATATTCATTGCACGATATCTTTTCTTACATCTTTAGTCACTGAGGAAGATTTTTGTGAAATTACAATGAAAATCTCTCCTTACTGATTGTGATAGGATTGTGGAATCCTTCC